CCCCACCCCCACCTCCCCCACCTCCCTCACCCCCTCACCCCCTCACTGTCTCAGGCTAATCATCTATCATTATTCTGCAGCTGGTAATCATGGAGTCAGGAGGCTGCAACCGGGGGCCCGCGGGCCACTTCAGGGGCCAAAACCACGGCAAAAACTGAATGACTGAATGAGACCAGGTCGTGGTTAGAGCCACGGTGACTTTGACCTGCTAATGACATGAGCTAAAGTTAGCATCGACTTTGGTTGTTTTTACCGATAAAGTTCATAAACAATGATAATAGACTAGGAAAACGCACAACAACTCACGAAATGTTAGTTTCAAATGCTGTTTATAGCAACCCCTGCAGGGGAAAGGGGGGAATTACATTTTTTTAATGCTTTACTTTTGATTCAATAACAATGATTAACTGTGTGTGAAAGGTGTAAGTACAAAGATCTGGTTTGGCCTGTCTAAATAAATAAAGTCAGCACAGTCATCACTGTGACAACAAATCAGTGTGTGTGTGTGTGTGTGTGTGTGTGTGGGATGCTGACGGTGGGAATGCAGCGCAGCTCTAATCCCAGTGGACAGTGCAGGACACTGCAGTGGAGACACTCAGCAGATCTCCCCTCATCCGTGTGACCGTTGCTGGCAGCTGGTGTGGAGAGGAGATCCGGAACTGGATCAGGGACCGAGTCAACCGTTCTTAATTGCGTGCAGGACTGCAGAACACACACACACACACACACACACACACACACACTGATGGGAGGAACTGGACACAGATAAGCATCAGTCAAACACACAGAGAGAGACTGTGTCTGTTGTCTTTCCTCTCCCTACATGAGTGGACAGGACTGACCCAGGTCTAGTCCCGGACACAGACACAGACACAGACGTTCTGGTGGTGACGTTTAAGATGTTTTAAATGAGTACTGATACCAGTCAAAAGTCATTGGATTAAAGTTTTAAAAATAATTCCCCAAGCTTTATGTATCCTTAGTGACCCCTATGGGTTTACTGTGGAATTAAATCCATCATGTGGAATTAAATCTGCGTAAATGGTCTATAAATGTCATACGTCATAAAAAAACGTCGCTTATATGTGACCCACACAATTTGCCCCGTGAATAAGCCATTAAGAAGTACATGATGGTATTTGTACATGTAGTACTATAGTACAGTTACCTCCCTTACATCAGAAACATGTAGTATTATGTCAACTGTTCACTCTAAATATACCATAAACATGAAAATTAGTTTGTCTTAATGTGTACCCCCTGATATAGCATTCTATTCTATACTAGTTTAGTATAAATATCATTTTTGCTGTAAATCGTCCAATCTGGCAACCCTGCTAACGAGCAGCGGGTTTTCAGGTGGAGTTTTTGTGACTTTAGTTTACGACACTCTGACACTTTTAACACCGGAAAATCAGTAGAAACGATCAATATCAGCGGTAGTGAAAATGATGTTTCACTTCCAGGAAACAAAACAAAAAGTACGTGTTTTTCACTCTACAATTACGACGGACCTGCAGCCGGAAGAATCACCACAATACTGTGAAAATGACACGGAGGACGGTGTAAATCTGGAGGAACTAAATGTTGGCGTTGGACATGAGTGGGCGAGAAACCGCTAACCCACGGAACCGGAGGAACTAAACCGCAGAAGTGAAGAGGTACAACCGTGATATCGTCAGGTACGTTCGTGAAAACACTGTTCGATATCAAACTACAAACACGGTACAACACACTTAAAAAGAAAAAAAGCTTTATAAATAACCGAACTTTTTATCACTGTTGCCTCAATTTAAAATGGTGGCCACACACTATATTTATTGTGGCCTGACACTAATTTATTTTTAAATAATTTACTGAATCAACGATTGAAAACTAAAACTTTACAAGATTATTTGCGGTGATTTTCAATGTAATCTTGCAAGTGTATTTTAACCGTTGTGAAGCTAATTTTTTAGCTTGATTCTCGACTAACTTTTTTATGAAGCTAATTTAGGGCTAATTTTTTTAGCTTGATTCTCGACTAACTTTAGGCTATTATTAGCCTTACTTTTGGCATTTTGCTATCGTTATAGCTGTTTTGGGGTATTTTATTATTATTTTGATTTAAAAAATCGTTTTAAAGTGTTGATATTAGTGTTGGCTACGTTTTAGCAGTTTTGTGTCTAGATGCTATGTGGACTTAATAGTTAATTGTATACTATTTGTTTAATGCAACTTTTAGCCGTTTGTTATTTAGCCAAACTTTAGCTACTTTTAATAACACACTTTTTCTTGCTTATAGAGGATGTTTGGATATTTTAGATATGTTTTCGAATTTGTTTAAAAGCTATTTTGACAGATGTTTTTGGTCATTGGTCCTAAGTTTCTGCTGTCTTGTATTATTGTATGGCTAACTCGGCTAACCGTTTTAGCTATGTTTGGTTTATTATTAAGTAGACGAAGATATTATATAATTTGACATATTAAAACTACATCAGTAGTATTTCTGGTGCTTGTATATATGGGCCGGAGTGAGGGAGTGAATCTGAATCATTCATGACTTAGAGACAGAGGTGGAGCCACAGTGACCTTAACCTGCTGAAGGCTCATGAGCTAAAACTAACTCTGGACTCTCTTTTGGACGGACATCTGGACAGGACAGGACAGGACTGGACTGGACACGAGGCTGATGCTGGACTGGACTTTAGTTCTGGTCTTGAAGCTGAAGAAGTTTGGTGGCGCTTTGACTTAAATATATCATATTTCAAGTGTGTCATTCTGAGCTGATGTTCAGGTAACATCACTGTTGAGCACGTCTTCTTATCACTTTTCCTGCCCAGCTGTCGACTCTGTGTTGGACGGAGAACTGATAAGAGGACGTGTCTGGCACCTCTTCACTGGTGAACATTTGTTCTCTCGTTTCTGTCACATTTGTATCTGTATCTTTTGTCTGTAGTTGAACATTAACACATTTGCTGGCGCTGTTTTCTCGCGATAAATTAAGATTTGAATCTTAAACTTAAAATGTGTGACCAGAATTTCTTTTTTCTAGCAGCAGCTGTTTTGTGCTGTGTGTGTGAATTTAACAGGTTTATTTATATTCACAGATTTAACGATGGAGTTGGGATTTGAAGAGGAAAAGGAAAAGAAATTGACAGAACTTTAGGAGTGACTTCAAATAGGCCAAAACCTAGTCAAAAAGTTTTAGGAATTTTGAAAGTGTCTGATTTTGCCAAGACTTAATTTGCTAATTGATTTACTAATTATATCTTTGTGAACTGTGTGTGTGTAACTTTGATGCAAACATCACATTTGTAACAGTTTAACAGAAACCTCTTTAGCTTATTTAAATTTAGCAAAAAAGATTTGTTTCAGCTTCTTCTGAGTTTTTTTTTTTTTTCAAAACAAAAAGAACATTTAACAGGAACTGGATTCTAATCCTATATATATATATAAAAAATCAAACAGGTCGTGATCTGACCAATTTGTGTTAGACCATTTTGCTTTACCCTCAAATTTAAGAATTAAAATGTCCCAGACCCACCAGAGGTGCTTCAAGTACCCCCAGGAGTACGCGTACCCACATTTGAGAACCACTGCTCAACAGAGCTCTGATGTCATCATACATGTTCTCCAGGAAGATGTTTGGAACCACTGCCCTGCTGCATGGATGTGAAGTTATGATCCCCAGCCATCTGCAGCTCCAGTATCTGACACAAGAGGGCGGTATTTCACAACTTTTACGGACCAGCGAACTGGTTCCCAACATTATCACACCCGTACTCTATTTGTAATGACTTCCTGAAGGGGAGCAAATGTAATCACCTCACCTGAATCTAACTTGATGACCATCATGTTCCAAGGTCAGCCACAGTCACCTGAAGATAATCCCTAGAAAACAGTCCCCGGGACCTTCAGCAGCACAGATTATTAACCTGAGTTTGAAGAACCCTCACCTGTCAGGAGAAGGACTCTCCAGCTCTGACCGTCACTGATTTGTTTTAACAAATATTTCAAGGAACATTTTTTTTTTTTATCCGCTGAAGGACGAAGGGAAAAAAAAAAATCTGATCTCATTGACGATCAAACAGGGATTAAACACAGGCTGGAAAGGAAGATTATACAGTATGTCCTGATAAATAAATGATGAGTATTGATGGTGTCTGTGAGTATAGATGGTAAAACAATCTCCCGCAGCGTAAAAGATGAAAGTGTGGTCAGTATAAAAAAAAAACAAAACTAAAACTAAAATATCCTCAAAAAACAAAACAAAGTGTTTATTTATAATATATTCGAGATTAAAGAGCGATGAAGCTTTGATGTTGTTCCTGTGGCTCGACAATTACTAAAAAGCTGTAATATGAATGAGTGTTTGAAGAAACCATTGAATTCACATGATGAACAACTGGAGTCCTCACTTCATTTTCCAGAATCTCATCATTTAAATGGCATGTTAGACTCAAAATAAATAATTTCGTGCTGTTCTACTTCTTCAAATTCTGAATTGAGAATTTAACAAGAAACAGGAAAACATTTTCTAATTAAATTATATTTTTATAAATTATTCTATACCTTATTATGTTTATTTTTCGGCTAAATTTTAGATTTTTTTGCAGGTATTTCCTGCTGTTCACCTAAAAGGGTTATTGTTCTTTAAAGGCCATCGTTATAAGAAGTTTGGGGCGATTTCAGCCTTTCATGGTGATTTTTTTTTTTAAACCCCCAGACCTGTTGCTGTCGTCATCGTCTCCTCCACGTGTTTTCTCTACCTGCTCTTCCAGCTGCAGCATGTGCTCGCTTCTAATTACAGACTGACCGTTTGGTGACGACACGCAGAGGCAGAGTATTGGAAGAAAGTGTGTGATCTGAGAGAGTCGATACATCTAAAGCTCTCCCTCTTTAATTAGACACAAAGACAAAAACCCATCTCCATGACGACACAATAAGAAAGCCAGCGAGCGGCGAAGGAGGACGTGGTTGGTGTGGAAGACTCAGAGAAAAGGGCACGGGCGTAGCAGCAGCAGCAGCAGCTTTGGCTCAGTATTTTTTTTTGTCATGATCAGATCTGTGTTTCTAAAAATAACTGCTGCTAATTTATTTTGATACAGCCTTCAGATCAGCTGTGGCTCCGAAATAGAACAGTTAATGAAATTAGCATCGTGTCCTGTGTGATGAGACATGAAGAATGGCCTGATGGTTCTTTTGAAATGAGTAAATGAAGGGCTGATGATGAAGACGACGACGATGATGATGATGATGAAGTGATGCTTTGATGGAGTGAATAACACATTCTCATTATCTCTAAAACTCTCAGCTCACCTCCCACCACTGATGCTGGAGCTCCACACCGTCCTCCACCATCATCGCCTCCATCATCTGTTGCCATGTGCTCAGTGTTTACACACAGGCTGAGAACGTCTTCAGGGACCTGCAGCTTCTGTGGAAGGCGGACGAGGTCAGGAGCAGGAAACCACATCACTGAATTTTGTCCAGTTTTACCATCATCATCATCACAGCACACCTACCTACCTTACTGTCCGCACATGTCACCATGTGCTGAGAGTTAGTAAACAGACTGGAGCAGAAACCTACGATAACATAAGCTTTGTTGTTGTCTTGTGGCTAACTTCTAGATAACTACATTGGCTAACTTTTGTCGTCACCACCATCATCGTCAACATCAACACCTCCATCACCTCGAAAACTGAATTTAAAATTTTTAAATTAGATCTTGAAGGGACTATTCGTTTATAAAATATCTTTAACAACAAATGTAGGCTAAACATATTAGCATAACCATAACAGGTTAACAAGTTCCCTAATTTTATTCACTCAGTCCTTTGTGTTTGTCTTTTCCAGACAATTCCACCGACACCAAATGAAGATGAAGCTCCACCTCAGTAGTAATGCAGTGAATCAACGTGTCACCGGCAAATCAGATGAGTGTTTTAACATGATGCAGTTCCAATTAAAAACACTGCATCCATGTGCGGTTCCAAGATGGCGGCACGTACGCACGCAGCGACCCCTCTCTGTCCCGACAGAACAGTGTTTCTTGTGAATATTACTTTTACTTTTATTTAGAATATTCTTGCACCCTGGGTCCAAGTGGACTGACATTTCATTGTGCCACATGTCCTGTATGTACAAAGTTGCCTGTGTCTGAACAATGTCGTGTTGAGTTCAGGGCAGCCTGAGACTGAGGCTGGTAATTAATTTCCCAGCGTCCACTGGGACCAGCTCTGTATCCATGTGCTTGGTATGGAGCTCAGCAGTTACTATGGCTTGTCATACGGCAGAGCCAGCGCTCACACTAATTGCTACGAGGCTCTTACGTCAGAGTTTCACTCGCGAGTGACATTTATGACACGGGAGATGAAGCTGCAGGACCGACACTCCACAACAACTATTTAAAGCCAAACCAGGGCTGAGTCTCGGCGCCTCCTCCTCCTCCTCCTCCGTGTGTGAGTGTGAGTGTATGTATGTACACCTCATGTACATAATGAGCTGGGATCCACTTGAGAGAAGGAGAAGAGGCTGTGAATGTGTTGAGAAGGAGGATCAGGCTGTGAACTCTCCCACAAACCTCATTCAAATTCCACTGGAGATTTCCTTTTAGAGATTCCAGGTCTTCCTGGAGCTCCATCTGCTCTTCACTTTTAGAGAAGCCCACAGTTCAAGCTGTGCCAAAGGATGCTGGTGAGACTTGTGCTTTTGCCACATGTGACTGCATGTGAACACAGCAGCACCGACAGGAAATCGCAGCAAGTGTTAATCACACGAAGTTCGTGTTCGTAGTTCAGCCTTTTTTTTTTTTCTTTTTGCACGTCTGCTTATGACACAAGTTTGTTTGTCACCAACTTCCCTCCCAAACACACACACACACACACACACACACAGAGGCCCAGGCTTCACCGTTCTCCATATTGACCCATCACTGAGTCAAAAGCATGAATAAACTGACCTTTTCAGCTCAATGCGAGTGAAAGAGGGGGAAAAAAAACAACATTCCCTTTAAAAGCCTTTTCAGTCTGGAACACAGTTTCAACACAAACACATCTGTGTATTATACACAAAGACTAGGAGTCAGTGATTGTGCTGTAAGGCAAGAGCACCAACCACTTCACCACCCTGTGGCCCTGTACGATTGTACGATTTTGTCACCTTTCGACGATGGCATCAAAACTCAAGTTGTACTCAGGACTCAGAAGTACTGTGGAGTAGAAAGTAGACGCCCGCGTCCTGGATACTCACTCACAGACACCTGTGAGACCCGGTGGTGGAGGAACCTGCAGCTGCACAAGAATGAATGTCTGCAACCGGGCCACCCCCACCTCCCCCCGTTCTACTGAAGATCTGCCACAGAGCGGGGCAGTTATTCTTTCTTGGACTAGAAATGTACGAAAGGACAGTTTTAAATGAGTCGGTACAATAATAATTAGGGTTTTCCGATATTAGATTTTTGCCGATATTCGTCTGATTATATGCAGCCGTTTGGGTCAAAGGCACAGGACGCACTTCATTGTGTGCTGTTGTAAGCTAATAATTCACTTTCACTTCAAAACTGTTTTCTAGGTCACATCATCTGGGTGAAACCCAGGCGTTGTATGATCAGAAACGACTCTTACCGATATTACATAATTATGCTAACATCAGCCGATGATAGTGGTTGGCCAGTTTTATCAGACATCCCTGCACGTAATGTTTTCTTTAATCAGTAAATATGTTAAAAAATGAAATTAACAAAAAAAAAATTTAACTCAAGAGAAATGTATTATGGGGTGCCAAACCACAGGGTCGTGGACCTGTGCTAGGACATGGTCCATATGGTCTGTTGTTGTTGTTGTTGTTGTTGTTTATATGTGGCTCTCTGATGGACTGGTGCAGACCAGATGTCGTGCTATGACAAAAAAAAAAGACCTGATAGAAAATCAATGAACAAATGGTTGTCAAGATGCCTTACAACGATGAGACGGCTGTTTGATCCCCGGTGGTAACTGTTTGTCTTTCTCTGTGGAGTTTGAAGGTTCTGTCCGTGCGTGCAGGTTTTGTCCTGGGAGCCGTCAGTTAATTGTTCACTCTTAGCCGACCTCAGGTGTGAATCTGGTTGTGAATGCTCTGGTGAACCGGCTCCACTGACAGATCAGTTATCTCCGATCGTTGCTTCACATTTTCCATGTCCTCGTGCTTTTGTAAAAGATATTAAAAAGCGATGCTTGGACTCGGATCAATGGCGGATGAATGACAGGTCGTATTTTCCGTTCCAGGAAACATTATTGGACGTTGAAGCGCTGAAGCCGAAGCTGGGCCACAACAATCTCCTGCTTATTTGCCAACTGTCAGGTTTGTTCTTGTGTGTGCACGCCTCTCACCGCGACTGTTTGTGTCCGACTGAAGTGTAATGACAGCTCTGACGATGTAGCACATCATTATCTAACAAGAGACGCCTGATAAGAATGAATGATTTTTCCTTTTTCTCTTCACAGACTTGACGACCGGCCTGACGTGTTCAGGAGGTCAGAGTTCACACATGTACAGGACACAGGACACCCAGGTATTTAAAGGCTGGGTGAGTAGTTTTGTTATTCACTCACTGACTTATTGTCAGTTGTCAGTATTGAGCGCTAAAGCTGTTAGCACCACGTGTATTATTGGGGAAGGAGTGATGGTGAATCAATCAGTCAATTTATTTATTTATAGAGCGCATTTCATACACAAAGCAAAGTCAGTGTACTTTACAATGGTTCAAACAGTTAAACGGTAATAAAACGTGGTAAACACCCCCTGCCCTCAAAGACCCTCGCATCGGCCGAGGAACGACTCAAAAGAAAACCTTAATATGGGACAAAAAAAAGGTAAAAACCAGTGAAGTGAACTTGCGGTGTGCTAGCATTTAGCTGTAAGTATACAAACAGTAGATTAGGGAATGAAATTAAAAACATGTTTGGATCAATTTCACACACTTTACGTACATTTCACATAAATCACATCAATAATGAAATGACAAGGCAGAGGTTAAACAAATGTTTTTTCATCCACTAACTGATTCTGGTTCAGCTGTTTATTGTAGGACATAAATTATCTGCCTTGTTCAAATACAGTAGCAGATAATACATTTGGACTTAGTAGAATCAGAGACAGATTGAAATTAAGGTTAGGATTAGGATTAAGATTAGGGATATATTTGAAAACAGCTGATCTTAGAGTAAGGGGCTGGGAAATGAATTATGTCTGTGAAGTCATAGCTCACCAAACACAAAAATCAGTGTGTGTTTGTGTATCTGTGTGTGTGTGTGTGTGAGAGAGAGAGAGGTTCTCGGTGGTCGCAATTGTGCAGCGCGGTGGTCAAATCCCCCGGAGACATGATCAGAGCCGCCGCCGCCGCCGCTGCTGCTGCTTCTCTCTAATGATGCTACTCCGGGATGACTCACCTCCCAGCTGACAGACAGTGCTTTATTAGTTTCTGCGAGATAAACGTCTGCCTTTTTCCATTTCTTCCAAAGTCACATCTCAGGGGTCAGTGAAGGCACCGTACTTCATTTAGATTATTCATAAACCCCCACCATTACCACCACCACCAGCACCAGCACCAGCAGCAGCAGCAGCAGCAGCAGCAGCAGCATGGCCACCAGTCGCCCCAGTTCATCGCTGAGATTCTCCTCCTCCTCCTCTTCCTACTCCTCCTCCTCCGTCCTCTCCTCCACACACCTGGCTGATCACATCGATCGGGCCAAACCTTCCAGAAACAACGGTCTGCGTTCACCACAGGCCGCAGCGACGCGCTCTCCCGACGCCTCAAACCCGCCGTCTTATCTTGTCTCGACTAAATGTCCCTACAGCAGCTGTCAATCAAACCTCTGCCGTCAAATGTCAGCGGCACAACATGCGGCTGTGGAGATAATGGAGAATATAAGGCTCACCTGGAATATTTCACCGTGCATGTGGCTCCGTCACTGTGTCACATGTTATTTATATTCAGCAAAACAGTTGAGGTGTTCTTTAACTAAGAGGCCGAAGGAGAAATTCTCCGGTTTATCTTCTGCTAATATTCTAATATTTAATGTCTCACCATATTATTCCATATTTTTCCTGACTATAATTTGCACTTTTTTTCCCATCCTTATACTCAGGTGCGACATATATTAAAAAATTTAATACCGTATTTTTCCTGACTATAAGTCGCACTTTTTTTCCATCCTTTGGCTCAGTTTGTGACTTATACTCAGGGGCGACATATATTAAAAAAAATATATATAATTTTGCATTTGTCATTTTCACACTGACAGCCACTAGAGGGCACTCTATGCTTGTGGACTCTGCTGCTGACCACTGAAAATGTATATATTTGTTATTTTCACACTCGCAGCCTCTAGAGGGCACTCTAGCTGGCTGGTGCTAGTCACTCTGGAGCGACTAATATATGTTGTTTTTTTTCTTCATTATGAATTTTTTTGCTGGTGTGAGTTATAATTCGGAAAATATGGTAAGGTTTTGGACAGTAAAGAAATACAGTATAGACATTTTCACCTTAAAAAAAAAAAAAAAGAAAGTGGGTGGTTGTTTGCATGTGTGTGTGTGTGTGTGTGTGTGTGTGTGGGGGGGTGGCGTGTGTATGTGTGTCTCTGACCCCATTCAGTTCCCTCCTCAGTCCTGAGGGACTGCTGAAGCTCCTGTTTTCTGTCCTGGATTACAAGTCAAATTTATCATCTCTAAAAATAAAGATACGTTCTTGTTCCTTTACATAAAAAAAAACTCCAGGTGCTGTAAAAAATTCATTGTTAACTGGTCTTGTGACAATAGCAGGTAATGAAATTAAATCGTATCCAAATATCTTTATTTAGATGTTTTTCTGGTTGATTTAATAATCTTTTGTTTTTAACATTAAACGGCCGGTAGTTTAGTTTAAGTTTAGTTTAAGTTTAAGTTTAGTTTAAGTTTAAGTTTAGTTTCGTGTGAACTATTTTAGTTGTCTTTCAACAGTTTTCTGCCAACATTTAACCATTTAGGCTTCATTTTTGCTAGCTTTCATTTTTAGCTGAAGCTCTTAATCTTGACCATGTTTAATCATATTTATTCTTTATTTCTTTTTTATATATTCAGTGATTGATAAGGCTAATTTCGTTGACTTCTTTCTTTCTTATTAAGTGCTTATCTATTAGCAAAATTATATTTTTTTATTTTGTATGCTATGTTTTTATTTTTCATAGAATATTTACTGACCAGCCTATAACCATTTTTGCATTTTGATAACTATTATTATTTGCGTTACATTCTGGTCTAACAAATCTGTTCACTCCTGTCTTTGATTAGCCAAAAACAAATGAATCTAATGAGTAAAGATGAACTAATGTTGTCAATTTGCTTCAGAAAATTTTTGGTTCAGCATGAGGTCACAATTAAGAACTGAAGTACTCTGAGTTTTGCTCTAAAAAGGCAATTAGGTGACAGCCGTCAGGGAGTAGGAGTAGCAGGAGTAGTGAGTAGTGTCGGAACATTCTTCGGTGTAAAAACGTAATCATCTGAACCCACACTAATAGAAGCAGCGTTAGCGTTGGGGTAAATCACAGGTTTCCCGCAGGGGTAAGTGTATAAGATGATCCAGGCTCTTCCTCCGTAGTATCAGTCGAGCAATTTGTTTGAAATTAAGATAAGCACGTCTGGCTGTGACCGTGGATCAATGCATATTTCTCAGGCCCGTCTGACTACATCTGTTGAATCCATGCCAATCTCATTATGTTGGCCGCCACACGTCACCTGACAATGAATCAGCCTCCGGAGGCAGCAGCGAACACTCTGGGGCTTTTGATGTTGACAACAGATATTCTGGAAAAGGCCCAACATTTATTATAAAAAAAAAAAAGATCACAGACACAGATACAGTATATGAGAAAACAGACAAATAAAAGTGGCGACAATAAAGCCCAGAAGTACATTAAAAAAAAAAACAGCACATTATTATTCTGGTAAAGAAAAATACTCTCTGCATCTGAAAAACTATTATCTTACTGACGTAAGTCGCACTTTTTTTTTATCGTTTTGCTGGGTTTCTGACTCGGGTGTGACTTATATATTGCAATATATCATTTTACATATTTGTTATTTTCCCACTGACAGCTGCTAGAGGGCACTCTAGGCTTTTGTACCAGCGGATTTTGGTCGAGTTCAAACCAGTGGTGACTCAGAGCCGTGCGGGTGAAGCTGGACCACAACAGTGGAGCTGAACGAGTCTGATAAAGGTAGGAACGACTCTGCTTCCATTCTCTCTGGGTTTCCTGCGTTTCAGATGTTCTTCTGGGGCGAAAACACTCAACATGTCAGGGCAGACAGAACATGATAGGTGTGTGTGTCAAACTGGGCTGCAGATACATGTTGGATGTGTCACGTGAACCCATGTGTGGCCCACATAGACCTGCCGTCTGGGTTGGTAATGCTGTTAATGCATATTAACATCTGTTTGCGTTTTTTGCGACCATTTTGTGGCGAGAAACACACTCAGGTGATGACATGCACGGTGGAGGGCTTTGATCCCAGCTAATGACACCAGATTGACCGTCGGCTCTGCACTGACCGGTGGATACAGTCTGAGACGGTGGTTACTGTAGAAAGACAGTAGGAATTATGCAACAGTGGAAAGAAAACAATTATAGTATTTTTTTTCTATCACAGGATATTTATAGATTTATAGCTGTCAAAATGCACGTGTTATTGTATTTTCAAGTCCAAACTCAACAGCGCCACCAAACCAAACCATGTGTTCGGTTTCAGTGGTTTCAAAACAAATCACTGAATGTGTCTTTTGTGGTGAAGCATCGTCAGCTGTGAGGAGAATTTATTATGGATTAGTTTGTCTTCCGACGTCTCACCTCTGATTTAGCTGCGTGAAGGTCAACGTCTCTTCATTCTGTTTGTTCCGCGGAGCGTGAAGAAGAAAAGGGACAAATCTGTGTTCAAAGGAAAAAAAGTGTGACTTTTAAGGAGATGGATTTGCTTTTCAACTCTTTGTCACGGCAGGGTTTTAGAACCGCTTTGACCATTTCACACATTTGTGGATGAGCAGGTCACAGATTGTTGTTGAAAAAAGGGAACGACCGGGTGTCTGAAAGCAGAAATCATGTGTTTGTTCAACCAGAGGACTGGAGCTTAGATCTAAGACACATAACACTTCTTTGACATGGGATTTGAACATCAGCCCTGCAACCTTTAAATGCATTCCTGAGTTCTACTGGCTTCATTTTCAAATGGTTTAAAATTTGTATTTTTTTTTTAAATTATATGTTCAATTTTATTTTTACATATTTCTTTCCTGGTAATGATTGATGATGATTTATTTCTACCCTTCTCTTCCATCTGCGCTGCTGCACTTTGCCTCTCCCTGTTTCTGACTCCTCTCGGGTCCAGTCGTCTCCTAAAAGACCAAGTTTTGACATTTGGTGTCTCTGCGATTTTATCAAGCCAATGTGTGGGCTGCGACGGCAGTGAACTGGCACGAACCCCGCTGCTGATGCTTACTTTCTCTTACTAATGCTAATGTAGGGCTTCCTTCATGTAGTCGTCGTGCCGTAGTTTCATACATTTATAATAATTTGTGCACTTCAGACTTGGAAACCTGGAGTATCAGTAATTTAAACACTGAAACTGTTATTATCTCTTTTCCCTCTTCTTCTTCATCCCATTTTTCTATTCTTTCATATTTGGCTCATTTCAAACCTGCACCTGCCTTATTGGCCAGCAGTAATTGAATACAGCGCTATTCAAGAGCGTTATGCAGGGAGCATCGGTTTGGCCACATGACCATTGTGTATGTGGGCTGTATCCTAGGAGATTGGTGCATATCTAACAAGGAGTTGCAGAGTGGGCACTTTGATGTCCGCCGTGTTGAATTCTCTGTTTAAGCCTCGCGTCCTGTTAATGACGCAGAGCTGCTTCAGACGACCCAAACACATCATCAGCTAGTTGTCCGACCTGACTAGGTGTCGGGAGTTTTTGTGGGAATTCGGAAAAAGTAGACATTAAACAGTCGTCAAGGCATATGTTTGTATACGCTGATGACAGTACGTTTAACAAACCCTGGGTCGGCAGAAAAGTCTTCTTTTCTGTTTTTGATCTTGCTTAATTTTTTTACGTTTTTCTTTCACAAATGTTGGCCTAACTTTTAACATTTTAATTTATAAACTTTATATTAACTAGTGCCATACAGTGTTTACAGAAATGTGCATGCATTTGGTCATTTGAAGGGAAAAATGACATTGAAAATGACAGGTGAGGGCAGCAGGTAAAGCCATTCTGAACTCCACAGCCCTCAGCTGGACTTTGTAGCATCAAGATTCAGACCAGACAGTTTAATTGCCTCCAATGTCCTCCCATGTCCAGAACCTGTTTTTTTTTTTTTTTTGTCCTGCTATCAACAGCAGGTAATATGTTGTGGCTTTAGGCGAGACTCTCTGTCCAGCTGTGGCACAAACTACAAAAATAATTAGTGGTGAAATTGATGGTTTGCTGGGCTCTGTCACACCACTGTTCACACCAGCAAATCACAATGTCGCTCCTTCACCGTCGGTCTCCTATACAACACTGGAGAGGAAACACACAGATGTAGACACGTGTCCACAGCAGGTTCAGTGGGTTCAGTTTACAACGGAAAAGAAGTCGGTCTAAAGATTATGGGGACTTGGGTTGAAAATTGCAACTTGTGTTTCACACAAAAGCAAATCAACCGGAAAATATCTGCTAGTTTTTTACCTAAAAAAAAAAATTTTTTTTAGTATTTTTTTTTCGTCATATACAAAAACAAATATTTAAAAATTTGCCAACATTCAGTCAAGAAATTCATTGCTAAAATTAGTTGGAAACTATTGTGTAAAAGCATCCATGTGTGTTTTACACAAAAGCGAATCAACCGGAAAATATCTGCTATTTTTTTTGCCTAAAAAAAATACATAGTTTTTTTACAATTTTTTTTCGTCATATATTTTTTTTTTTTTTTTAATTTGCTTGGTTCAGTCAAGAGATTCATTGCTAAAATTAGTTGGAAACTACCTTAGTTACCAAAACTGGTTTACACTTCAGTCACGAATGTACCAAAAATGAGTTATCTAGAAATTTTGCTTAAAAACGACATTTTATATGTAAAAGAAAATTAAGATGTACTGTTAGTTAAAATTCTAAGAAATAGTTGTATATAAAAAAAGTCAATCTTTTAGCTAGCCTGAAAATATCTTAGTTGACAAAAACAAATAAATGAAAGCTATAAAAGCTATGTATATACTGTATATATATGTATATATATATATATATATATATATATATATAAAATTCAGGGCCACATTTTGCTCCGTTTTGTTGCAGAT